TAAAAGCGTTAGTCTAAACTAAATGCTGACAAAAAGTGGTTCATTGGGTTCAGATCCTTCCACTGTTTTCCTGGATCACACATAAGGCACCAGGTGTCCGGCCTATTGCTTGCTAAGTACTGTGGTGTCTGTTGTGTTTATGTCATGAATATAAGGATGTTTTAGATCATTCTTAAGTCTGCAATGAGTAAACCTAGGAAGTTATAGTTTGAATATAGAGAAAACAGTAACACAACTATTTTACAACCAGAATATCTTTCAATAGAACTAGATTATGAAGCAAAAGCGACTCTAAAAGATAAAAAAATGTTTGTCTGTAACTCGTCGGTTGTCAAGAGATGAAATAGACATCTCTAACATTTAGAACACCAAACATTCGACATTTGGACCATCTTTTAGAATCTGTTAAGCACTGCTGAACTGAGGGACACTCCACGTCTCACTCTGAAGGAAATGAAAAATAAAAATTTATTGCAAAGGAAATGAAGCTCCCTATTCTAACACTGAAGTCATCACACTGGCTTGGCCCAATAGACACTTGGCTTGCAGACAAGTCGACGTCCTGGATACACACACACAATACTATGTCTCGACTGTTAATGCAAGCTAATTGTCTATACATCATAAATACACCAACAAATGACTTTTTGACCTAGAGAAACATCTTTTTACAGAGAAAATTGTCTTAGATTATTTACATTAACATCGCAGACGTTAAAGCTCGGTGTGGGAACGGCAACACGAGGTGAGCAGTGCCTGGGACCTCAGGGCCAAGCATTTCTGGGCCCGGACGCAGCCGCCAGGCGCCGACGACGTGGTCTCGCCGGACTGGGGCTGTATCAGATCCCGGCGAGGACCACCGTAGCCTGGCCCGCTAATAACAATAAAGATGATAATAATGACAATGAAAAAAACAGGTTGTGACCTTCCGTGTCCCATTGAGGCTTACATAATATTTCTTGACTCGAGGCCCTCGAAGACGCTTGGAGCTCGATATGACGCTGTACAAAACCCCGATCAGGCTGAGGTGGGGGGAGGCCACTGCTCCCGTCACCTGCTGCCACTCATGGCTCCGTTATTGGTGTTGTTGCCACTGCTGTTGGTGTTGCTGGTGGTGGTGAAGGTTGGCGTGTTGCTGCTGCTGATGTTGCTGATGTTGTTGCCCATGGTCGCCGCGTTGGGCATGTTGGTGGTGTTGACAGGCGGCACTCCGAAGAACGGGGAGGTGAAGGAGGTGGGGAAGTAACTATGCGTGGGCGGGACGCTCGCGGTGGCCATGGAGGGAGCGGTCGCCGCCCCGGCGTACCCCTAGTCATGTCAGATGGGCGTTGGGGGCACAGTGAAATCATGGAGAGCGGACCGCACGCTGTCGTAGAGGGGCCGGTTGTCTTCGCAGTAGTTGTCGGTGCAGAGAGAGTGGATCTTGGAGAGGTAAGAGTCGAAGTTGTCGTGGTTGAGGCGCTCGTTCGGGGCCGTCGTGCCGCCGCCGGGCAGCTTGACGTGCTCCAGCAGCGACATCACGTTGTTCCGCAGCGACTCGTAGTACTCAGTCAGCTGCGCGCCTCGCTCACCAGCACCAGCCGCCTCCTGCGGGGAGAGGGCGGGGCGTCAGGAAAGAGTCTAATAGAGCGTGTTAGTCGGAAGGAATTCGCAAGGAGAAAAAAGAAAGAACAAAAAGAAAGAAAGCATTTATGGAGAACAGTGGACTTTTTGTTCAAGTGATTTTATTTTCATTTTTAACATATCGCACATGTACTGCGTTATCAAAAATAAAAGTTGCCACGCCGGTTCGCTGTGAATGAAACAAAAAATCATAATATTGATCATGATAATTGTCATTATTAGCTTATTACTATTACCATTATTATCACCATTATCAGCATCGTCAACATCAAAATCTTTATTATCGTCTATCATTATCATTGCTGTTATTATTATCCTCTTCTTTATGATTGTTCTTATCAACATCATCACCATTATTAACATCATCATTATTATCAATATTATCTTATTATTATAATTATTTTCATCATCATTAATAGTATCATTATTATCATTACATTAATAATAATAATTATTATTATTACTATCATTGTTATCATTATATTAATATTACTATCATCATTACTACTATCATTATAATTACTGTTATCATCATCGTCATCATTATCATTATCATTATAATCATCATTAATATTAGTATTATCATCATTATGTTACTACTACTAACAATAATAACAATAATTAGGATAAGAACAAAAATAATCATTATTACCATTATTACTATTATAATTGCTATTGCTATTATTGTTATCATTATCATTACTATTACCATTATTATTATAATTATCATTACTGTTACTAACATCTCCAGTATTATTACGATTATCCTAATAATAGTACAGCATACACGACTACTTTTGTTGAGCAGTTGCCCTGATTATTGATATTATAGTTTTTGACGATAACGATATATATCCTGTAACTGTTTTTCTTAGCAGCAATAGTATTAACAATGCTAACAAGATCAATAACAATAATACTAGGATTGATAACAATTATTATTATCATTGCCTTTATCTCAATTATTATTATTATTATTATTATTATTATTATTATTATTATTATCAATAGTATCATTATCCTTATTAGTAGAAGTGGCATTATCATTACTACTACTACTACTACTATTTTAATCAATATCAATATTATATTACTCTGGTTATTATAATTATTAGTGTCATCATTGTTTTCATTACCACTAAAATATCAATTACCACCAACATTGGTATTATCATCACCATTATTGTTATCATCGTCATTATCATCACTATCATCATACTTATTATTAATATTATTATGATTATAATTACTAATATTATTTACATTATTAATACTATTATTATTATTATCATTACTATCGTAAGTTTTCATATTTTTGTTGTATTTTACAAGTGAATTAGCGGTTAAATACAATGCTACTACCCATATCATCGTAATCATTATTATCACTATTTTTATTACTGATAATATCAACACTACTGTCATTTTTGAAATCATCAATGATATCATTATCACTATTTGAAATATCATAAATAACATTGTTGTTATTATTTCCAGTATTACTATTATCAGCGTTAAAATTAGTTGTAGCAGTGCTGGTGTAACAGATTATTATCATTATTAACACCGAAGCACCATCACTATTATCCTCATTAGTTTTCATTACCTATTGTTGACACTTTTACACTATCATATTCAAAATCACCGCAATCACTGTATTAATGTTTTCCCTAATCATTATCATCACTATTTGTATCATTGTCGTTATAAAACAATTATTATTGTTAACACCAACATTTTTTTAACAGTGTGATATTGTTTTCAACATTATAATTCTCATTCATGTTTTCGCCATTAGTACTCTTAGGGGTGGTTCAACGTTTTCAACATTTTCATAAGCGCACAAAAAAAAAACTCTTTTTGCTGACCCCCGCACCTCCCCCCCCAAAAAAAAACAAAAAAAACCGTACCCCTGATAATGTTGATGCCCGGCGTGACACTGAGCAGACAGAGTAGTCCTGTGAAAATGTTCCTGATAGCCATGTTACCCCCAAAAGCTTGGCAGAGGATCATTTTCACTTTGAAGAATTATGATTATTTTCAACTGGGATAAGTATCAGGACCAGGTATTAGTATCAGATACTGAGTAATCGATACGATCTAACATCAACGTTTCTCATAAGATTTGAAAAGCGTGCGAGCGGGTTTAACCACCTCCCTTCTTGCGTGCGATTTGCACGCTGGTGAAAATGTCGAAAATATTGAACCACCCCTTAAGGCAATCCTATTAATATCGTTATAAAAACTACGCTTATACCACTGTTACTACTACTGCGGTAGAACTTAATATCACCGCACTTAGTAGCGCTGGTGCAGCTGCTACTGAAACAAAACTGATAACTGCTTCCGGAACGACCTTTAATGCCGCTGCTACTTCTCGCAAGGCTCTTCTTGGCGCCACCAGCAGGCACTACGACTGCGCCGCCCGCGCTTTCGAGGTCAGCCTCCGTCGGGCCCACAGACTCACCTTCTTGCTCGACCTTGAGAGCCGCCTCCATAGAAGGAGACGTCATGGCGCAATTTGTTCACGTGGCCCTCCATGGAACCGTTCTCTTTCTGCAACTCCGAGATCTCCGAGGCCAACCAGTGTGGTCCTCGCCGTCTGTGTGGGAGAAGATGGGAGCGCTCAGTGGGGAGGCCAGGCGGGCGCGAGAGGGACACGGCTGCGCCCCGGGACTGGGAGGGGAGGAAGGGAAGGGGGCAGGAGTGACTGTGTGTGTGTGTGTGTCTGCCTGTGCGGGCGTATTTGTGTTTGTGACTGCTTAGTTGCTGGTTGTAGCCAGGGTTAGTTTATAAAAGATGAGTGAGATTGTGTGATAACATAAAAGGTAAATCTACCATGTCTTTCTTAACCTACCGTTATCAGTTATGCACTGAACTATGCTAATATCAAGTTCTGCATCGAATGCAATTAATAATATGGCATTTTTTTTTTAGCTGAGAAAAACACCCGAACAAATGATAAAAAAAAACTGCCTCTTCAGAGCCTACATGATTCCTACGAAAAAGGTACGCCTACAATTTGCAAAAGAATACAAAATATCGCTGTCCTTTCCCTCTCTCGTTCTGCCACGGAGAGCCAGCAACGCAAGTGGCTTCGGCAGAGCAGATTTCCAGTCGTTTGGCAGGGACAGGTCAGCTCCCTTCTGGCGGG